AATATATCAACTCTTCCATTCACTTTCATAGCAGGGTGGAAAGGCAGCTTGCTGGTGAACGTGTCTAGACTAAACAGACAAAATAGAGAGCAAATTGAAGAAAGCAACAGCAATGTTTCTGACAGTAAAGTGGCTATCAGGTTAACTGGAGATACTACATTGAGAAACACTGAGAACAATGAGTGCTATTTTTCTATTTGGTTCAATACAAGTATATTAATGTCTTCTGTGTTTTAGAACCCTGTTTGGGAAACTCAAAAAATATACAAATTTTCCATCACCCAAGCATTTTACATATTTGTCAAAAAAATTTTTTTCAACAACTCTGATGAAAGTAGCAGCATTAATCCAAAAATACACTAATGACATGAACTATGACACGAGAAGCATGAAATTTGAAGAAATGTCTGGGGATTCTAGACAGGCAAAGGATAGAGGTATTTTAGCAAATGAGGAGTGCAATGAGTCTAGTAAGGAGGTTGTTACATAAATAGGGATGAAAATACAAATAGAAGAATTTAGAATAGGCCATCCAAAGTTTGCATGATTAAAAAAAGTTATTTTAGTTTTGTTGGAAAGGCAGATTAACAGAAAGAAGGAGAGACAGAGACAAAGATCTTTCATCCATTGGTTTACTCCCCAAGCACCTGTGACAACCAGAGATGAGCTGACAGGAAATCAGGAGATAGGAGCTTCTTCCAGTCTTACACTTGGGTATAGGGTTTCAAGGCTTTGTATCAACCTCTACTGCTATCCCAGGACACAAGCAGGGAGCTGAATGGAAGCGGAACAGCTGGGACATGAATTAACTCCCATATGGAACTCCAGTGGATGCAAGGCAAAGATTTAGCCACTAGGCTACCATCTAGGCCTGGATGATTTCTATTTTGTCCCTTGCCAGTTAATATGTTGGGACAGAATTCTAAACCACTGAAATAAGCATGGTTCAAAAAGCAGCCTTTTGGCTTTGGAGCCAAACAGACCTCAAGATGAATACCAGTGTTGCTTCTCATGGGACACACAATCTTGGAAAAATCATTATATTCCCCCTCCCATCATCAAAGAGAAACAACAGTAATTTCTTTAAAATATTACTGTAGGTCATGCCGCAGTAGCCTAGTGGTTAAGTCCTCACTTTGCATGCCCTGGATCCTACATGGGCGCTGGTTCCTAGCCTGGTTGCTCTGCTTCCATTCCAGCTCCCTGGTTATGGCCTTTGAAAACAGTAAAGGATGACTCAAGGTCTTAGAACTCTGCATCTGCGTGGGAGACCTAGAAGAAGCTCCTGGTTCCTGGTGGCATATTGGCTCAGCTCTGGCAGTTGCAGCTACTTGGGGAATGAATCGGAAAATGAAAGATCTTTCTGTCTCTCCTTCACTCTGTAAATCTGACTTTCCAATGATAATTTTAAAAAATCATTGCAAATAGTGTGAATACATACATAATGTGCTTAATTACATGTGTGTGGGATATAGGATGTGTTCAATAAAAAGAAGCTATTAATTACTTATGTTAATATATGTAGAACCAATATAACTACATGTACATTGGATGCTAACACAGAAATACACATTCACATATACATTATGAATGTACACAGGAAATATATATATATATATTTTCATATATATTTTTAAGCTATCACCAAGTTATAATAGTAGTATTCCTTTGCAAATATTGAAAGAGTTATAATTTTTCTGAGGATCAGCAATATATTATCTAATATCTATTATGTGAAATTTCATTATTTGTTCTATGTTTTTGAAAGAATGCTTGCTTACTGATTAGTGATAGTTTTCAAAATATTTGTACATTAATGACATTCACTTACATAAACATTGACTTCATACTTATAATGTCTACAACTGCACTGTTTTGTCTTTGTCATGCATATTTGATAGACTCATAATCCTAGATAAATCCAACTGTTTTTTTACTCTTATGCCTGAATCCTTGATATTAAGACAAAACAAAACTGTACACCTATGCTGAATAGCCTCATGTTAATTTTTTTTGCCATAAATGTCCAGTGAGCTATTTGGAATGTTAGGTAATTATACTATAACCATTTACTCAGTCCCAGACAACTATTTAAAATATTATCTGTTCTTTTCACAAACCCTTAGCAATTCTGTGATTCTCACACCTATATGAAGACCTTACTTTCTACTGTCCCAGAAAAACAAAATTAATTGGACGCCAGCTTTCAGATTTGATCCCCACACTTGTCCAACAATCAAAACCTATGCTGTCCTGTTTTGACTTCCTATCTGGTACTGAGATAAGCTTCTTCCTAAAACCAGTACATTAACTTAGTTTGGAAAACCTCTCTAATCTCACCACTTCAAGAACACTCCAGGAATTATCTCTCTCCTTCCAAATCCGGCATTTCCCTCCGTCTAAATTCCCATTACTATTAAGATATGTGCTTATTTCTCTCAACACAATTAAAAATACAAAATTAGTTATCTTTACTCTACCTCCACATTATACTATTACCCATTTATTTACTTATCTTACTAACAAAACTGAAAAAAATCTCAAGATTGACTCAAAGTCATCACCAGTACAAATCAGGTTTCGTTTCCCTCATGTGAAAGAAATTTCTCTAGCCATGGATAATAGTAGCCTTTACATTGTCAATGTGAACTGGGAGATTTTTATTCCTACTCTTCCTAAATCTTTTAATAGCTTTTGGGATACTTATCACTTGTTCTACAATTGTTTGCTTTATTATTCTTTTTAGATTTATTCACTGTTATTAGAAACTCAAATATGCAGAGAGAAGGACAGATAGAGAGGAAGATCTTCCGTCTGCTCATTCACTTCCCAAGCAGCCGCAACAGCCAAAGCTGCACCAATCCAAAGCCAGGAGCCAGGAACCCAGATCCTTTTCTGGGTCTCCCAGGCAGGTGCAGGGTCCCAAGGCTATGGGCCATCCTTGACTGCTTTCCCAGGCCACAAGCAGGGAGCTGGAATGGTGGCGAATGCTGAGACTCCCAGCAGGCCTATTCAGTTGCTGGGTAGCAGCAACTGCTGGAACACACAAGACCTGGGGCTGGGAGTAGGCCTGGGAGCTGGATTTAGGGACTTCCTTGCTCAGCTACTGCTTCCACTGGGGAGCAAGTGAGCTGGCACAAGTTTGGGCCAGTTTGAGCTAGGCAGTTATTCCTGCTTGCATGCAAGAGAGCCAGAATAGGTGCAGGCTACACAGGCTATGCTTATAGCACCAGCTTGCCAGTGCTGGGACTGGGCACAAGTCATATCAGGTCAGACTGCAGTACCCTCTGGCAGGGGCAGGACCTAGGGCTTGGAACATGCATGGCAGGGCAACTGAGAGCACTCCCTGGCTAGGCTGTACCTATCACTGGTAAGCACAAGAAACCAGGATTTCTGGTAGGCCAGTCTGGACAAGATGATGGCACCCAACGCCATGTGTGAGGGCCAGGTCTGGGGCGGGGTGGTGTCAGGCTAAACTAAACTGCAGTACCCACACACTATACACAAAAGCAGGATAGAATACAAGATGGGCCAAGTTGGGCCATGGCAAAAGCTGCTATGCTCAAACAAATGGTGCTAGGGACGGGCCTAGTGGGCGTTATCGGGAGTCACCCCAACAAGTATGTATGAGGATTGGGTCTGTGGTGGGTTGGCAGAGCTGGCCATAGTATTCATCAATTAGTGTGAGATATGGGGCTGAGGCAGAACCAGCGCAGATCATTCTCTCTGTCTCTCCTTCTCTCTTTAGATATGTATTTCCAAAAAAATAAAATAAATCTTTAAGAAAAAGAAAAGTAGAAAGCTCTTACTAAATCATCAAAAAATAAAAATTAAGATTGACAGACCTCGATGTGGGAGGTATAGGAATAGATTTCATCATTCAAATAGAGGTCAGATCATGAATTACTTTATATGTGTTTGTTTCTTTAGTCTTGATTTGTAATCTTCTCTGCAGTAATTTATTAACCAAATTTTTGCTGTACCTCCTCAACAGAGACAAAGCAATATGTGGAGAGGATTTTCAATTCTCTAAGTTAGAGATACAAAAAAGAGAAACCTGAAATCACATGTAACTGGAGAAGATAAAAGGAGTGGGTATTCTAGTTCATCAAATTTAATTTCATTATCTTCAGTAACATTATTTTGGGGGTCTACTGCGTTTAGACTACATTAATAAGGCTTGATCTCCCTGTCTATCTAAACACTGATTATTTTACAGACAGCATCAGGTTAATGGTGATTATATTAATGCCTGACAGATCCACAAGGTGTTGATTGCACATGACTTTGTATAAAAGCTGGCTGAATGAGCTAGGTCATGCCTCAGTCTTCAGTTTTCTCCAGACAAGGCAGCCAACCACAGGTGAGTTTTGACATTTATGTTTATAGAGTGATAACAAATATTTTTGAAATTACAGGATTTTCAGGACATGGGGAAAAAAAATAGAATGTTTCATCCTAGTTGTGTAGGATTTATGTTTGCCAACCTGGCTCCTGAAATATTGTTCGTAGTTATAATCACTTCAACAAAGCATGGATTTGTAAAAAAATGTCTTAGTTTCTGATATTTTCTTCTTTTAAACAAATACAGGCAAGTGCTAACAACAATAGTCATGATAAACTGAAGAAGTAATTTTCTGGTATAAAATTTTCTTTTTATTGCAAACATGTCTTTAAAAATGCTAATGAAATGAAAAATAAGATGATCACAATTATTTCACAGTCACTAGCGGTACTGCAGTCCTTAAAGACTGCTCTCCTTCAATCATTATATTGGCATTTTGATCCATAATGTACTTTACTTGAACAAAAAATAAAATGAGAAAGAGAAGCAGAGGAAAGGATGATGTCGCAAGAAAAAAAGAAGTGCAGAAAAATGAAGAGAAACAAGTGCTGAAGCAAAATGTGACTGGGACAGAGAGGGAAACCAGTGATTTTTGTCCTGATTAGTTACACAGTGAATGATAATAATTCTTGACTTTCTGGGTTTCTAATGGGCTGTTATTATTTGTGTCCCAGACCAGGATGAAGTCAGTCCTGTTTTGCTTCCTTTTCTGTTGCTGGAAGGCAATTTGCTGTAGTAGCTGTGAGCTGACCAACATTACCATTGCAGTGGAGAAAGCAGAGTGCCGCTTTTGCATCAGCATCAACACCACTTGGTGTGCTGGCTATTGTTTCACCAAGGTGGGTACTGCATTTTGCTGGAAGTGAGATTGTCAAAAGTCTGTAGGGGGCATGGCTAGCTAATTCTCATTTTAGCAGCGCTGGATGTTTGCCAAGTAAACACCCTTAAGTCTGTGTTTTGGTTAGGGTTGATGGTCACAACATCAATTAGAGGTTTCAGGTTAGATTTGGGGAAATTTAAGAAAGCTCTGATTTTTACTCAGTTTTCCAAATCAGTTAAAAAATGTTTAACATCTTTGCCATATACATGCTACCAAAATATGCTTCTAAATCACATAACAATATAAAGGCACATTATTAACAAAGAAAATAAAGTTATCTTCTTGGTCTGCCTGAACACAAATGCTGATAGACTGCCTGAAAACACAAATCAATCCTTGTACATTGTTAGAACAAAATGAGTCAGCATAAACACTCCATTCTTTATACTCAAGAGAAAATCAAGACAGCAGTGTGGAATTCAGTCTGAATCTATATAGCCATTTTCATATTAATATAAGTGAAGAAGGAGTTTCCAGATGTTGCTCATTTTCTCTGTAGCACCTAGTTCCTTTATTCTATAAACTTAAATTGAAAATAACAAATTTTTAAGTAAATATATTTTGTTGAATGCAAACTACTTATTATACAATTTGTTACACCTTCTTAACACAAACACTTGTTAGCACAATATGGAAATAAATCAAGCGCACCTCCAATTTCTTTCCTCAGTGCAAACAAATTTTTCACTGGGAAGTACTAAAACAATATCTGCCTGGAAAAAACATCTGAAATTCAAACAGTGTATCCTTTGAAATTAAGAACCCTATAATTTAGCATTCAAGGAGCAGGACTGTTTATTAGGCAGTAGAATATTTAATATCTGACATAAGCCTTCAAAAACATATTAACTCAGCATTAATATTAATTTTTAAAATGTTTATATATACCAGTGTAATGTTTTGGGGAATATTTTTTTAGGAAATTAAGATGGTAGTATGGTTTAAAATGATATGAACGTAATTTTGAATTAAGTGCAAAGTGTCAACTCAAAATTCTAAGTCATTGTTTTCACTGTTTTTCATACTGAAATTCAAAGTTGTCTTAATTGATTAATACTTTGATATAGCAATAGGAAATAGGACAAAGAATACATGTATCTTCTAAAAGACTTTAAGTATAATTTAAAAATAAGTTAAATGTTATATACAATAGAACAAGGGTTTTAGTGGGTAAATGTTAGAGCACACAGTATTAAATTACATCTCATTTTAATGAATTAAATAGGAAAATCCAGAATATTGCAACTTAACTCTTTCTTTCCCAAACCCTTCAGGATCTTGTGTTTAAGGACCCAGCAAGGCCCAACATCCAGAAGACATGCACATTCAAGGAGCTGGTATATGAGACAGTGAGGGTGCCTGGTTGTGCTAAGCAAGCTGATTCTCTGTACACATACCCAGTGGCCACTGAATGTCACTGTGGCAAGTGTGACAGTGATAGCACTGACTGCACTGTACGAGGTCTTGGGCCCAGCTACTGCTCCTTCAGTGAAGTGAAAGAGTAAAGAAGAGTGGACATTCCAAGCACCTACTCATGTCTGTGTGTGTGCCCTATGCCAGGCTGGAAACCACTGGGCCAGGAGATCATCACACCTCTTCAATTCTTGCTCTAATGGCAGAGGGGAAGCTCCTGGAATTGAGATTCTGGGGCCAAGATACATACCAGTCTGCCCTATAATCTTGGTCAGTCCTATATGTTATATTAAGTCTCAACTCAATGGATGAGTGGATTGTTCTTCAATAATCTTAGAAATTCTTTCAGGCAGTTCCTGCCTTATAGGAACATGGATTCATAGGGCCTGAGGAAGGAAATGATAGTGAATGAGTGAAAGAACTAAATGCAGGACAGTCTTCTGCTAGACCCTGGGGCTTCAAGAACAGGGCAAGCAACCTCTTTATGGTTGTATCTTCAACCACTGCAGCTTTCTGGAACCTAGTGAGGAACTCAACAATGGTTTTCTAAAGGAAAAGTAAGATGAGGAAACTAGAAATTAGGACTACATTGAAAGAGGCTGGCTGATGAGGTTTTCTCCAGCAACATCAGTCTACGGAAGTAGGGACAGGTGTTCCACTGTGGCCCTCCTCTCCTGAGACACAGGGTATTGACGCAGGATGTCTTTAGAATAGCTCAGTTCAGATGCCAGGGAGTGACACCACAGCTCAAAATTTTCCACTTACTACTACCAAGCCCTACAGTTAACAGCAGAAACAAGGCATGTTAATATGGAACAATGGACACTAAACCACATCTCTTGTTTACTTTAAGGGAATTATCAAATGCTGTTAGGTGCCCCCAAAATTCATTTTTGTCATGAAGTAAACCTACATCACCTTGACCTCTACAGGTTTTCTTGCATTGAAATGAGGGGGTATTGGGAAACAGGTGAAAACAGCTTGCTAAAAAATTGAAATATGTAATATCTACAAATATATTTATATAAAGAAATAGTTCTTTCACCAAAAAATTAGCCAATGGGGGGGATTACTGTTTTCTAATATCATTCCTTTTTTTTTCTTTTGTTGGTGTAATTGAGTTCTGCCAAGATTACAATTTTTTTCTAAAGGGTATTGAAAATATTTCATGAGTTATTTTAAAGACGTTAAACTTTTCAGTTACGTACTTGTTTCACACAGTGTTTTATTTAAATCTTATTTTTTTAATATAAAGATGCACAAATCATGGACTCATATTGTTTTAAGTATAAACAAATCACATGTATGTACATTTATAATATTAGTAGAAAACTAAAAATATAATACCTAAGGGTTCTACAAATATCTGTCCTGATTATTTTGGAATAATAAAAATATTCTTATATGTCTAAAAGCATTTTGTCATTTAAATTTCCTGTCACTTCTTAAACTTATTTTCTGAAAAGTTGAGAAAATAGTTGTGCGTGTGAGAGAGAGAGAAAGATGGAAGGAGTAAACAAAGAATCAGAGAGGAAACAAACAAAAGAATTTCTCTATCCCATTTCTTAAATTTCTGAGAAATTAAGCTTCAGTGATGTGAAGTCACAGTCCTAGCCCATTTGTTCTAACATTATCAGAGTCTGGGTGATTCTTACTGCTCACAATTGTGAAGGCTTTGGAAATCTTTAGATCAAGCAGGCAGCAGATTTGGTATCTGGTAAGACCCACTCTACTTTAAAAATGGAAGCATATTCTTTTTTTTAAGATTTATTTATTTTCATTGGAAAGGTGGATATACAGAGAAGAGAAGAGACAGAGAGGAAGATCTTCTGTCCAATGGTTCATTTCCCGAGTGACTGCAATGGCTGGACCTGAGCCAATCTGAAGCCAGAATCCAGGAGCCAGGACCTCTTCCATGTCCCCCACACGGGTGCAGGGTCCCAAGGATTTGGGCTGTCCTCAACTGCTGTCCCAGGCCACAAGCAGGGAGCTAGATGGGAAGCAAGGGCCACTGGGATTAGAACTGGTGCCCATATGGGATCCCGGCATGTGCAAAGTGAGGATTTTACCCACTACTCTATCGCGCTGGGCCCGAAGTATATTCTTACAAAGCCAAAACTTCAGAAAACTTTTTCAAGCCTCTTTTTTAAGGGTACAGATTTGCTGTGAGAGGGGTCTGTTCTTATGACCTAATTATTTCTTCAAGGCCCCACATCTTACTGGCAACACGATGTGAATCAGACTTCAACAGATTTTTGAGAGCCACAAGCAATCAGACCATAATAATTACAAACTGTCCATGGAAAAATCAGGATTAATATTCTGGCCATGTACCTTTCAACCCAGGTTTCTTTTGACTACTCCAACACACTAAGAAGTCATTTTGCAAAGAAATGAAGAACAACTATAGGAATTGATTGCCAGGAATTACCCATTTACCCCATGGCCTGCCCCCGAGTCTTACATGTAATGATGGGTACTGCAACCCATTATGGCATGACATGCCTCACCTTGCAATTGATGGCAGGTGCTGTAACCTGACCAAGTCCAGCCTGCACCCAGTCCCAGCTCATGCCTGGTGGGTGCTACAGGCTAGCTCATCTTAGATTGCCCCCAGTCCCAGCCCTAATGTGAACAGGCTGGTATTACAGCACTACTCAACCTACCCAGAACCCCATCCTGGTTCTCGTGTCTGCCAGTGGGTGCTATGAATTGGCCCAGGCTAGCCTGCCCCCAGATCTGAACCATACATATGTCAGGGGGTAGTATAAACTTGCCTGGCATGGACAGCTCCCAATTTTCTTTCCTGCACTCACTTGCAGGGACTGCATCCTGTCATAGGAGTTCACCAAGTTCCTCTTTCAGGTTACTCACAGTTCCAGATCTCATATACACTGGTGGGTGTTTGACCCAGCCTGACTTGACCCATCCCTGTCCTGGCAAGAAAAGCAATCTTGCCCAACTACTGGCCCACAACTACTCCTGCTCTTACTGTTGGGTGCTATAGCCTGTCCATACCTGGTCCACCTCCAGATTCAGCTTTCAGGTGGCTCAGCAGGCACAGAGACCTGATCCAGCCCATTCTATGCCCACTCTTGTTCTTACAAGCACCAGCAGGTGCTGGAGTCTAGCCCAGTCTGGTGCATCCCAAACACAGTCCACACCCATACTGAGAGATACTGCAGTCACATCCAGCCCAGTTCATTGTCCCCATTCCTGCTCTTCTGCTCATTAGTAGGAACCACAACCCAGCCGGGGTTTCCCCTTAACTCCAAACCAGGCCTGCAACCAGATCTTGCACATGATAATGTCTCATCTGACCTAACCTGGCATAACGCAACCCCTGACTTGGACTTTGCCTTCAGATGCTGCAGCCTGCCTTGTCCTGGCCCACCTCCCAGTTTCAACTCTTGCTGCTGGGTGCTACAGCCTAGCTCTGCCAAGTCTGGTTCCCATCCCTGGCTTTCATGCAAACTAACAGGTATGATAACCTAGCCGAGCATATCCTGCACTCCAGCCTGGCTCCTGTATGTGCCATTGTGCTTAGTTTTGGCCCTGCCCATTTCCCTCACTCCTCCCCACTCTCTACCACAAACAAACCCACACACTTGCTGACAAGTGGATCTGCCTTACCCAGCCTGACCAACACCCAGACCTGAATCACATGCTTGCCAGAGGGAGCTACAGCCCACTAGGGGAGTTTCCCAAGTTGGTACCACCAGGCCCACTCCCAGGCCCAGATCTCAATTGTGCCAGTGAGTGCCAGTCCTTTACCTGGTACAGTCTGTCCCCTCTATTTCAGCCTTTCTGTGTGCTTATGTATGCTGCAGCTCAACCTGCCACACAATATATTCTTGTGTACATTTAAGAGTGCTGTACCCTGGACCAGCTCAACCTGCTCCCCAATCCAGTACTCTTGAATATCTTGGGATTCCATGGCCATGCCAAGCTCGGCTTATCACTGCCACCAGTTCTTGAGCAAATCAGCAGATTCCACAGTTCCACAGGGGTGAGCCCACATATCCCCCATAGAATATGCCTCCATACCTGGTTCTCTCATGGTTGGTCAGTGTCATGGCCCAGCCTAACATGAAAGGTCCCCTGTTCTAACACTCTCTAGTGGGTATTTTGATATCTAGCCCTGTCAGATAGGTCCCCAGACCTAGCTTTATTGTGTACTGGTGAGTGGTGATTGGTGGTGGTTGATTCTAACTAGCCCAGCTCAGGTCTCCCACATAGGTGGGTGTATCCATCTGACCCAGAAAGGTCCTGCAGCTTCCCTCCTTCAAACCACCTGGTCTCAGCCCCTTGCTTACTTGTAAGTACAGTGGCCTTATTGGTGGAAATTCTCCCAGAAGTAATTCCTCACCTGCAACATACTCCCTCAGTGGTCCTCCCTCCCACACATCCCATACCCTCTTCCTTGACAATCCACAGTCCCTGAAGGAGTTCATGGGTTCCCCATTGCAGTCCTTTCAAGCCAAGTCTTTCCATAGGGTGGCCTGCTGGTCTAGAGCTCTGCCTGTCCACCAGGGACACAAGCTCTTGGCATGTGTGCTGCCCTGGAACCCTACCCCTCCACCTACCCAAGATCCAAGCATGTTCTCAGTTCCCCAAACCTCGTCCACCAGCACACCAGGCCAGCATGGTAATCTATTGCTCTCTACTTCTTGCCACCCTGCCAGTATCAAGCACATGCAGAAATTTCTGGCTTGCTCTGCTTGCCTGGGCACAAGCCCCCAGGTCCCTGCATGCCCCCACCAGCTCCATCTCCCATGTCCCCTGAAAGACCACACCTCCATACCTTGGCAGCCTGCTTGTGTTAGCAGAACTCAGGCACTCATGCAAGGCCTATTGAGACATATTAGCCACAACACAAAGCATTTCTTTCAGAGTTAAATTGTCTCAATCATCTAAACCATATATCACATTGAATAAGCTATTAAAAACAATGGAACTTGGTATTCTTAACTATAACACAGAGCTAATACTATTTTCTATTTCAGAGGTTTGTATAGATAATTAAATAGAACAACACGGGTTTGAATAGAATTTTTATTTAGCAATTTCTCAACAAATAGTAGCACTAATTCCTTGAGGGAGATGATGTGACAAGACAGTAAAGT